CTGCAAAGATTGATTTATTGATACTGCTATATATCCCTGCTCCTCTATACATAAATAAAGCAAAGTTAGCGTATATATGGGCTTGTCGCATTTGAACGTTCCCACCCTCTTGCCTTGAGTATTCTCTTGCAAAAAAACTCAGACTGTTTGCTATGTTATTCAGTACAACTTTTGATTCATAGGCCACTTCTTTGCTGGAATTCCTGTCTTGACAAGCGCCAGTGGAATTTCCATCTGCAATCTGCATTTCGTTTTGCAATAAAAATTTCGACGCAGAATGCCTGGAGAATCCTCTTTTTTGGGTTTAATCACATATCCTTCACATACAATGTCAAAATTTCAATGCTGAATTGATAAAACTTCAAATACAAATCTTAATTTTGAGTACACAACACCCTGGCAGAAAATTATCTAGTCAGCCCTAGGAGAACTTCAGAGAGAGACTTTCAAAAGCGAACCCAACATGTTCATATGTTCCTTATATTTTAGTTCGACTTAATCTGAGTCCGACCGCACACAGATGTGGGACAATGTAGGTTACATGCGTTGTGCGCTACGTGTTAATGTGTTACCTTGCGAAGGGATATCGGTTACTTCCAAGATTTTATTCATTTGTCGTCTTTTTCTAGAGTGCTGGACATCAATATGAAGGGTAAACCCAGGTTGATAATTACAAAATATTATAATCGAACATACTGTATTCGACTTGAACGAAGACTACTAGAGTCAACTTCCCCAGTGCTGATTTAAGAGGTACTAACTAGACCCTTAACCAGCAACAACAACAACATCTTCGATTGTGATATTTTGTAATCAACCTGAGTTCTCTCTCAATTTGGGCTCAACATATATAGTAAATATAGGTTTTAAGAAGATCAATCTAAACAAACCTTCCACATCCCATCAGTATAGCTACGGCATTGATCGTGCTTTCGCTGACCATTCGCCTACTAAAGTACCTCGATCCACTGCCGTGACCCATGTAGCTAGAAGTAATTTTGGAAGCTATTCTAAATGGTAAGTATTGACTACTTACAAAAAAACATCGCGCGCTCGGAGAGCCTCCTTCACTAAGTCTGGTTCAGGAATTTTGCCAACCACTCCATTCCAGCCAAACTTCGAAACATAGTTTGTTATACGCCGTTGAGTATCACCAAGATTATTCTCTGGGTCAAGAATGTAAAAAGCATTTGAAATGTTGACGGCTACAGGAATCTAAAATATTCGTTTGAAAATGAACAAACAAGTTAGGCTTCATCTTACTTCTTTCCTCATTCTAAGGGTTTGGAAAAGAGAATGTACAGATGGGATTCGGGCCACATAAGGGCTATTACGAAAAATTGGTATAACTTCCCATGGAAATGA